ACTTTACTCTAAGAATGCCGTACACCACCACCAAATCGTTCCCGCACACACGGCCCACCAGGGAGACAAATAATCCAATGTGTTTGTGCCATGGTTGCAACGAACCCATGTTCTTAGGAACCTAGGCCAGTGGAGCCATGCTACGGATCCACTTTTTAAAACACAGATTCATAAATTCTTCATCAGTGATGATGAAATCTCAAAGGCTTTCAAGACCAAAGGTGTTTTGTTATTATTGTTATTTATGATTTGTGGGAGAAAACTAATTTGGTGATAAAACCTGATGTAAAGAGATGTGAAGCCATTTAGAATACTGAGATTTCCCACTTAGTGTGAATATTCATCTGCATGTTGCAGGGTTATTGGTACATTCAAGGAGTAGAGGGCCAGACCCCACTATGTGTCCTCGGTAATATGTATAGCATATGCACCATAATACCTTTCCAGAAAAAATCCTGAATTCTGAAACTTCTGGCCTCATGAGTTTCAGCTAAGGGATCGCAGGCCTGTACCATATGGTAATGTGTACATGGTGTATATTTAGGAAAAATGCCTTTGCTGCTATTCACTTGCTAGGATGCTCAAAGCAGAGCTGAAATGAACCAGCTGTGAGTTTCACTGGAAAGGGCGCACACAATCAATTTGGATCATTTAAGCCTATTGAAGATTTCAACTCATAAAGTACCAATAAGTCTGAACCAACAACTCCTGCGATCTCTTATTGTAATAAACAAGATTTTAATGACCTTAGACAACAAGTATGCAATGAACCTCCACTTTAATGGAGCTATCAGAGGTTTTATCTGGAGATTTCTCTTTGCATTAACTCCAACTTCAGTTATCGATGGAAACCCACATGATTCAATCCTATCAAGTGTTACATGAACCTTTGTTCAAGTTACCAATCACAGAACAGGGAATGAGCAGGGCCAGAGAGAAAACTTAGGATACAGTAGAAGCTGTCATAGACAACCGTGGTCGCAGAGGTAATACAAAGTTGAAGAGCCATGGAAGAACTGGAGCGGGACACACCACTGTTTTTAATCACTGAATGTTCTGTGGTTTCACTTTAAGGTTACCTAATCAAATCTAAAAAATCCTTTTTGCCATGTAAAGTAATATATATATTCACAGGATTCAGGGATGAGTGAGTGGACATTTTGGGGGGGCACTATCCTGCCTATCAAAACCCCCAATGATCTCTCTTTATTCCTTCAACTTACCAAGTATCTCCTGTCTCAGGGCCTTTGCATGTTCCTGTTCTACAGGCAGGTTCCAACTTATCTCTTCCACCTTAACAAATATCACTTCATAAATATAGCTTAGTAAGTATCTGCCTAGAGGTCTTCCATATCTCATGGCAAAATATCCCTCTTCTTCAGAGACAGTATCATGACCGATATAACACAGCTATATTTATGTGACTGCCTGCTCAATTTCTGTGTCATTACCAGAGTGCAAATACCTCAGAGGTAGGGTCACTGTCTTTCTGGTTCACTTTTATAACCCAGCGCCTACATGACAGTAGGTACTCCAGAAAAATTTGCTGCTCGGCAAGGAATAAAACTGCATAATAGGAAGTGAGGGCATCTGGGGATCCAAATTGGGTCTAAACTCCTAGGCATGGCATTGTAATCTGATTCTGACTTTGTTTCCTAACTTAAACTAAGCTGTAAAGAAAACTGGATATTGAAAGGCTCTTCTTTTGTTTTTACAAGGCCATTTATTTTTCTATGAGATGGGATGTTTTGAAGTGTAGGAACTCCAAGAACAAGTCCAGGATCACAGCCAGGAAAATGTGGGGAGGTCTGATCTCTGCATGTGTACGAAGTTGTTACAGGTGACCTCAAGGAATTCCCGGGAAGCAGCAAAACCTACAAAGTTGGGCTTGTTGCAACTGACCCTCAGGGAGCAGGTCCAGATTCTTGCAGGGCATATGCTTACAACTCAGCCTGCAGAGCTGGAGCACTGAGGCAGCTGCTGAAATCAATAGCCAAGGTGACGACTTAACCTCAAGTAGAACCTCAAGGAACCAGGACCAGCAATGCTCTTACCCATCAGGCGAGGTACATTTCCTCTCTGAAATCCACAAGAAGATGGAACAACCCCTCAAGCAGGGAGTCCTCAGGATTCAAACATACTTAAAGCAATGCCACACAGGTAAAGGAAGGTTCGATTCCAAAGAAACATACTGCATTCTCTGCTTCAGAGTCTCACAACAGTGACATTTTGGGCAGGATAATACTTTATCTGGGGGGCTGTCCTATGAATTGGATGTTTAACAGCATCCCTGGTCTCTACTCACTGGATTCTAGGAGCATACCACTGCCCCTAGTGGTGACAACCAAAAATGTCCCCCGACAATGTGTAACGTCCCCCTGGGCGGGGAAGGCCATCTCTAGTTGAGAAACAGCGCTGTGTTCTACCAATCTCAGTGCAATCTTCAACCACGACTCTTCTCTGACTCTGTTTACAAGACAGATAAATAATGTCCCCAATGCTGATAAATGACCCCATGATACATTACAGTTTTACTTTCATTTTTTAAAAAGATTTATTTATTTGTTTTTTAGAGGGAGAGAGAGAGAAAGCGAACATGTGCTGGGGGAGGGATACAGGGAGAAGGAAGAGAAAGAATCTCAAGCAGACTCTGTGCTCAACACGGAACCCACTTGGGGCTCAATCCCATGACCCTGAGATCATAACCTGAGCCAAAATCAAGAGTCAGAGGCTCAACCAACCGAGTCACTCAGGTGCCCCTTCTTACTTTCATTTTTAATTTCTTAGAAAACAACACAGTTATATGGAGTGAAATAAACTAAGTCTGAGATGTTCAAACTGTAAGAACATCAGGGAGAGTTCCTGTTGATAAAGAGCTCAAATAAAGCAATTTAACATAAAATATTACAGACATGTTTTGGGAAAAAGTGAGCAACTTTTCCTTGCATTTTCTTAAAGTTAAATTTGATCCCATTACCTCTGATCTCTGAAATTCCAATTTCCTCCAAATACATCCATTAAGTAATCTAACATGTTTATCACATTAAAAAAAATAAAAAAACAAGCTACAAACCAGATGGACCTCGATGAGGAACCCAATTAATACAGGCAGCCTTACCATCTGACATTGCTTAAAAGAAATAAATTCAAACAACTTGGTTGAACAATAAGTCTGTGCATTGTAGCTACCATTTCTAATTAGCTTCTGAATTTCAGGGCACTCTGAGTAAAAGAAAAGTGAAATACTCATTTAAAGTAGTAACTTTTAGAAAGAATATGCATCTAGTCTATGCATTTCTCCAAATATGAATGGAATAAGAGGAGGAGACAGGCCCGTCACCACATTAAGGGATGTAATTAAGAATGAGGCAAAAGTTCCCAGTTCCCATCTCTAGAGCTCTTCTTTACCAAGGCAATTGCCAAAATCAGTTCCCAATCTTTCAAAGCACAGGTCTTTTGTTTGAACAACACCAGATGAACAAACGGCAGCCCAATTCTGAGATAAAGAGGCTTTCAAGAAAAACTAGCTGGACACAAATTATCCCTTCAACTCACACTGCCAATGAGAACTGGTCAGCAAGAACAGAAGGAAAACCCTAAACTTGTAAAAAGAGGATATCATTTTGCTTCTAGGAATCAAGTTTTCCAAGCAGCAATAAAGCTAAGAACTCTAAGAAGTGATTCATTCAGTACAAAAGGAGGAGAGCCCATTAGCAAAAACCCTACTCAGGAGACCTTTAACTAGTGTAACTAGTACAAGAAGTCCCACAGACAGAAGAATCTTAGTACTGGGAATTTGTCAGCTGAACAAGAAAAAGCGTGAAGCATTTTCTCAGAATAGTTATCTCTGGTTTCTTCAGCAATCACAGATAAGAAACAAATTTATATGTGAATATAGGCATCTCCAAACAAAGAAATACTACTGATTTTCTCATCTTGAAAGGATTCTTCACTTATGCTTCAAGGATGCCTAAATGGTCCATAAATGGGCTTGAGGAGGTAGGGTGAATGATGAAATCCTATAAACTATGGGCAAATCTGTGTGTATATCCATGTATTTTCCCTATATGGAGGGGATCTCAAGTATTCCTCAGATAATCAGAGTAGGTCATGACTTACTAGAAGTTATAAAACACTAAGAGTTGCTGTTCCATGTTTGAGTCCAGTCATAGGCTAGAAGTCACACCCATTCAGTTCTTCCTCAAATTTGTAAAGCTTACCACATAAGAGAACCAAACAACCTAACAAACTTGTGTGCCCCAACAAAAGAATATCCACATCCTGATGATGAGGAAAGGTAAAAATAAGGTTAGCAATGGAAAGGGTGTGCTGCCCCCACCCAAAATTAATGAAGGAATTTAGAGTCTTGCTCTCTCCCTCCGTTCCTTACCAAAAAGATACAAACCATCTCCCGTACCCACACCTTTCTTGTGTCTAGCAGCGTGGCTCTTTGAGAAAACTGACACAGGAAAGGCAAAATGTCACCATTGATCCCAGCAATGTTAACCGAGAGTCACACCACCGATGGCCACAGCCCCTTTCTCGACAACTGGCAGGAGCAAACAAATCTTACAACAGCCTCCCCACTGAGAGAAGGTTCTGAGATGGCTCTTCATGTACCAAGTAACTTTTCTCTTTTCTAGAAAAGGTTGAAAACAGTCACCTGAGTTTCATACAGAATTTCAGCTTTAAAAAGTGGGACTTCAGAAACAGAGTAAAGGAATTGTGTCAAATGAAACAAATGGTTGAAAATCCTCGGCCAGGGGTGAGTCTACTCAGAACATGACGCCCCTGACTTCCCCATGCTTCTCCAGGTAAACAAAGGTGAGAAGCTTGAGGAGGAAAATAACACCCGTCAAGCTGTATATCAAGGATTTCCAGAGACAAAGGTATGGACGGTACAAGTTTGATTTGCGAAGTCACTGGGGGTAAAGAGGAAGCATCTCATTAATGTGAGGACCCAAAGAAGGGCTACACTTGACATCGCGATGTGTTCTCACCTCCACAGGAAAGCGCCTGCCGTTGATGCTGTGTTCAGAGCCCGCCGAGCCATTGCTCTGTCCCCAGTGAAATTCCACCTTCTCGGCTTTGAATCTGCCAGGCAGGCCGGCACCACTGACAAAATAGTCGTCCTTTAGGAGGATGGCAACTGTATAAAATGGAAGGGAAGGGAACAAAGTGAATCTTTCCATGGGAAAACTGAATGACTTCCTCCGTTGCTTCATATAAAGTTCAGGCTTACATGATGTGAATTATTTCCTCACGTTCCTGTTTAAAAAACAACTCAAAAACACTAGTTTGAATAAATTAGCACAATCTAGCTGCAGAATGTTCTCAAGCTCCAGCTCACTCTAAATCTTGAAAATTCCCAGGGAATGATCTCAGAATTTCTTATCCATTTCACAGATGGAAAAAAAGGAAAAAAGAAAACCAATGGAGACAGTCACAGAGTAAGACGCTCTGAATCAGGGTCTCCTAAGTCTGCTCGACGACCAAAACAATCTGGAGAGGGAGATTTTTCTTTTTGTAAACCCTGACTCCTGGGGCTACCCCAGGGTTCAAGGTCTGAAATGAGATGGGAAAAACATATGATAAGCCAGATGTTAGAGGCACGTTTCTTTGATTAGAAAGCTTACGCAAAGATATCAGGAAGTAATTTGCAGGTTCTTCCAATTTTAAGGCAATATCAGTGGGCATACGGCCAAGGTGGGGGTTGCATTCATGGTGTTTGAAAATGGTGCCCAGGAAAATGCTGGCAAAATGTTATTCATTAATCATTCAAATAATTGCAGATAACTAGATTTAATTTAATACTCTGTTTTATTCCATGTATAGGAAAATTTTACTTAGCCCATCCAAAAGAACACCTGAGAATTCCAAGACATAGGGAAACTTCGTCAATTTAAACCCTAACTTTCAAAAACATTCCCCTCCTGAAACGCAGGAGAGAGACATTGAGAACAAATAACTTGGATTTATACTAGCATAACAATTATCTTCCCAAAAGGAATGTAGTATCCAAATGCCTAACAAACAGATTTTATCTTACAAGTGATACATTCCCTTTTTTTGTTTGTTTGTTTTCTAAAGTGAATTCATGCATTCGTTCAACTCTTATTGGCTGCTAAATATGGGTAAGATGTCAATCAATATACTTCATGGTTTGTGATCAACAGTCAACTTTGTGTAAACCACAGAAAAGCTCTTGTATCATCACTGTCTCTTCTTCCTAAAGATACCAGTTCAAGCTTTAGAGAGAAATCCTGCATGAAAATTAGGTCTCCATAAAAGATAGGGACTAGGCTAATGACCCATCTCTAAAACAGTGCAATTAGTTTCAGTTCTCCTCTATATAAAGGAAGCATTAAAAGCAAGTAAAGGAACCCTGCTCATATAAATCCCTTTTATTGCATTCAAAAGACAGTTTTTCTCCAATTTCTGAAAAAAAATACAGTGAATGTTTAATTAGTGGGACAGCAAATTAAGAGATGAAACGAAGTCAAAGCCAAGTGTTTCTTGCGCCAATTAAACATGCTACGGCGCTGTTTCATCTTTGCTGTGTGCTAGGCATGTTTTAGCAGGGGTTGGCAATGTTCTCTGTGAGGGGCAAGACAGTAACTATTTAAGGCTCTGTGGGCCATAGGATCCCAGTTGCTACAACCCAACCTAGTCTCTGTAGCACTGAGGCCGCCAAACACAAAATGAAAATGAACATTCCAACAAAACTTTACCTAAATTAAAATATGGATATAATTTTCATGTGTCATGGAATCTTAATCTAGCTTCGATTTTTTTTTTCAACCATTAAGAATGCAGAAACAAGCAGGGGTTGTAATTTGGCGATCCTTAAAACACAGTATGATATTTTCTAAGATAAAATATATTAAACCAATCATATGTCTTTAGTTCTAAAGCCAAAATACCTATGAATTAGCTCAGTAGTGTCTTAAATACTGTTGATTACTCTCATCCTGTTATAAATTCTATACATAACACTCTGCATCCAAAGGATGAAGGCAAAACATTTTGAGTGCATCTGTTCCAATATATACCCAGGGACTCAGCAGCATCTTATAAATATTTGATTTTACCTAAATCATTTATGTCTCTGTCAGGGGTCATTTTACTTGTTTTATATGAATAATTAAAAGCATAATTAGGGAACTGTACAATCTGAAACATTAATCTCATTTTTCATTTTACTGTATTCCTCACTAGAGCACACAGCACGCTCCGTGTTCATATTCCCCCTTCTGAACGTGGCTTCTATTTTTGTTTACCTACAAAATTGGGAAGTGAAAACTTTCCCAGCTATCATGTAACCATTTTCTGATGACCACTGATGACACAGAGCTGTTTGAAAACAAAACAAAGGTACTTCCCACAGAACACAGAATATATTAAGAGCCAAGAGCTCAGAAGATGGACAGACCTGGATTGGAATCCAGTTCCGCTTACTTCAGGGCAGTATGACCTTGGGTAAGATACCTGACTTCTTTGTGCCTCAGTCTCCACCCCTGTTCACATGGCACTAATAGGATCTAAGTGGCAAGGCCCTTAGACCTCTCCTTTTTCAGATAGAGTTGCATTTTTTTTTTAAAAGATTTTACTTATTTATGAGAGAGAGAGAGCACAAGGAGGGGGAGGGGTTGGAGAAGGGGCAGAGGAAGAAGCAGACTCCCCACTGAGCAAGAACCGTGACAGACTTGGGGCTCCATCCCAGGACCCTGGGATCATGACCTGAGCTAAAGGCAGATGCCTAACTGACTGAGCCAACCAGGAGTCCGTCAAGTTCCATTTTAAAGCAATACTGACTTCCCCACAAAATGAAGTGTCCTAGGACAGACACCACAGCAATACTTGAGATCATAAGTGCTGAGTAGATGCTCTGAATTCATTACAACACAGAGTAAAAAGGTATTTCCTCTTCTTGATTATTTCTATGCTTTGGTCACATCAAGGGGAAAAACAAGTCTCAATTTGGTGCTAACATGCTCTCCACACTTCCCTGATATTCATTCATTTCCCCCTTGTACCCAAGAGTATTATGCTGAATTTAATAACTTTGGTAATTTGATTTATTTTCACAGAGCACAGACATACATGCTTATATTAGTCTATTCATGTCAAGTAGCACGGGTCTTTCCATTAAGGTGTTGGTAAAAAGTTTTCCTTTATAATCAATTCCTCTAATTAAAATAAAGAGAGCCAGTTGAAAGAAAAAACAGTAAGTAGATAATACTACAATAATAATAAAGGGGCACCTGCGTGGCTCAATCAGTTGAGCGTCCAACTCCTGATTTCAGCTCAGGTTTTAACCTCAGGGTTGTGAGTTCAAGCCCTGCGTTGGGCTCCACGCTGGGAGTAATGAATTTCAATTTCAATTTTAAAAGAAGAGAAGTAAGTTGAGTCTGGATTAGGAGACAATTAGGAAGGTAGCAAGCAAGAGCTAACAAACGGAGACTGACAGGAAAGGAGGGGTGAGCAGGAAAGGTACCTCGGAGTGGACTTTCTAGAACAAGGCCCTCTGGTTGTTGAACTGTTTACTGTGGACTGGGACGGAATCACAGAAGAACAATGAAGGGAGTGGAAGGAGCTAAGTCTCCAAATTCAGAGTTTCTTAACCTAGAGTTCATAGTCCACGGCAGGAGCTTCAGGGTCTATACCCTCCTGAGACAGGAAGTAAAATGCAGAGCATGGGTGCAGAGCTGGAGCCAGACTCTGGAGCCAGTGGAGTCTGAATTTGACTACTACCATCTGTCACACTCCAGTTGTGGGAAAGGCATTATATTTCTTGGTGCCCCAGTTCCTGTTCGGTACAACTGGAATAATACCACAGGAGCTTCACGGCTTTGCTAGGAGATGACAGGAATGACAAATGAAGAATGCTTACAACAGTAATTGCTGTATGACATTATAGCATAAAGATGACACTGCATAATTGTGTAAGTGTTGTTTATAAAGGTTATCATCCTAGGGAGAGGAGCCCCTGTATCTGAGTCTCCCCAGAATATAACAATACCCCAGGCTATGCAGAGGGGGAACGGACAGGTGGGAGTCACATTAGTTTTCTCTGGAGCTCGAAGGGATAACTGAGGACCTGGCATCCATGGCACTGTTTGCAGGACATCCACCCACTGTTTATAAATTAAACTCAACATGTCTATATGATTCTGGGCTAAAGCAAATGTTCACACCAAAATCTGAGTAAACAGCAGTAGGTGCCAAAAGTTAAATAAAAATGGATGGGAGGGAAACTAGCTGCTTGCTATCTTCCTTCCACTATCCCCAACCAATTTTTAACACTATAAAATGAGAAAAGACCACTATGATTGGATCTTAATGGTGGGATCCGCCCCCACTCCCCACCCCGACCACCCACAATATAGGTGTCCATTTGGGGATGCTTTGGGCCCTTGGTAAAAGGGAAATGTTCTGGTCTGAAGTCAAGAAACATGAGCTTAACACTGGCATTTATTTCTTCAAATATTGACCAACTTATGAGTGGGAAGAAAAGGTTAGTAAATCTGGCATAGCTTTCATGGAGGGCACAGGTGGTGGGAAAGACAGGCCCTGGCAACTGAACAGCACAAACAGCCCGGCAAGTGGGACAAGTGGTAACAGGTGAGAAACCAAGCCCAGACAGGAGAAGAGGAGTGGGTATCCTCAAGGACTGATGAAATTACATGAGCTGAGAGTTAAAGGAGCAACCTTGGGAAGTGCTGACGAGAGGGGAGCAGGAAAAAGCAGCTCACGCAAAGGCCCTGTGGTAGTGGGAGTAAGTAAGAGGAAGCCAGGGTGGCTGGCGCCCAGACAGCAGGGTGTGTGACACAGAAGCTGTGGAATGAGGCAGGGACAGTGATCAATGTGTCTTTACCCCCAGGAGAAATGGAAAGTCCTTGATATGGCTGAAAGTGAGAACAAGAAAGAAAGAGGGTGAGACAGAAAGACAGACATGATCAGATTTAGGAAATAAAATTATTCCGGCTACTAAGTAAAGAAGGCCCGGAAAGAAAACAACACTAGTTGGGGGAACAAAACTTGGGAGGTTACTGCCATCATGTGCTAAAGACAGACTGGACACGTTAAGTTGGAACAGCCTCAGATATTGATGAGCTGTCAAGTCATGGGATTATCCAGGGTCTCAGC